TAAAATAGTACAAATAAATTTTGTCATCTCCAACTTTATTAGTCGAAAAAGAAGGTACAATAGTACAAATAAATTTTGTCATCTTCAACTTTATTAGTCGAAAAAGAAGGTAAAATAGTGTAAAAAACGACAATCGTTTCCCAGTCAAAGCTTTTTCTAGAATGACAAATTATAGCGAATTATCTATACTCTTATGTATAGAACTAGACAAAAATTAAAAAGAACCTAATAGTTTTACTACGTATTGTCAATGATATGAACCATTGATAAGGTATAAATGTTCACATAAATTAGAATAGAATAAAATATACTTTCTTACGAAATCTTAATATTGAAAAATCTAAAAGATAAGTTCGTTTAATAATCATTCAATACTCAAGTATTTCGTAAATAATTATAAATCTTTCAATTCTACTTATAAAACAATACATTATTGTGTTCTTGATTACAGTTAATCAAATTTATTTACAATAAGTATAACATAAATCAATGAACAATACAGATACAATTAACTTTCATCTACATCGCTTTTCTTTTGGCGATCATTATTATTTGAACCTCGTAATTGTCTATTTGAAGTTGCTTTTCGTTTTTTGAATACGGCTGTTTCATTTGATTTTACTGATGAACTCGATGGTAATCCAGTAATTTCTCGTTCTTTAAAAACTAATTTAACGTGAGAATCATCTTTTATTTCTGGAATAATTGCTACAGGTTGATTCTCAGGTAAATGCCAATTATCTGATGGAAGATCAAGTTGATCGCCAAATGTTTTACTGAAAAATAAAAGAGAATTAAAAAACAGAAAAATAAAACATTGAAACTAACCGTTTTAATGGTTCTACTTTGATAACAGGTTTCCAATCACCATATGGATGTTTATATTTATTTTTACCTTTAAAAAAAGCATCGACTTCGGGCGGTAATTCTGGCTCTTTTTTTTCTTCTTCTTCTTTATCTTTCACTTCTACTTCTTGTTCATCTTCTTTCAATTTATCAGACATGTAGAATTAATAATCTGTTTAATCTAAAATAATCAAATATAAAATAATTTTTTCTATGAAGATAAATTAAAAATTTTTTTAATTGTATTATTCATCAATAATGCAAATTGTTCATGAGCTTTTTTATCAAAATGTATTCCATCAACTGGACTCAATTGAATATGAGGTGCTGCATCAACAAAATAAATATCTTTATCATATTCATTTACAAGAACTTTTAAATTATCAGCTAAATTTTGTAGTCGTTCTTTGGCACCTTCAAACATATCGAGAACATTCGAACATTTTGTTTCAACTGGTATAGGTGAACTAACAATAAGTATCGGTGGTGAACTTTGCATATTAGGACCAAAATTTGTTGAACGAACAATTTCAATCATTTCTTTAATACCTTGAGTTATATGTTGACTTGTTCGATTATTAAATTCTTTTTTTAAATCATTTAATCCAAGCATAATAATAACTAAGTCTAATGGTGAATGAGTATAAAGAATAGCGGAGAGAAATTCAGTACCACGACGTCCATCTGGTCTATTTCCATAATCTAAATTTGTTGTTCGACCATTGAGACCTTCTTCAATGACATAAAAATGTGCTGGATCAAGTAATTGTTGTAAACGACCTGTCCAACGTGTATTTCGATCAAAACGTTCTCGAATACCAAAAGAACCTGGTACAAATCCCCATGTATTCGAATCTCCATAGCATAAAATTGATTTCATATTTTATATAACTCTAAAATAAAATGTATACATGCACTTTACAATAAAGAATTGAATGGATTATCACAAGAACAGATTGATCTTACTTGTGGTAAATCACATTTCATCTCAAGATATCAGTAATGTCATGAAACTAAATAAAACGTTGTAATGACAACAAACAACGATGCGTATATATATAAAAGAAGCACATAAAAATGACTTTCAGGGTTATAATATTCTACATTAAAATTCACATGCTGACATAAGAAAATATGTTAATGTTAAATAAGAACGATTAAGATCTGATTAATTGTTAATCAAAAGTTGTACCTGTTTGTAACTCTGATATTGCCTTGTGAAATGATTTTTATAGAGTACGAATCAGATACGAACTTACACTAGATATCGCTAGTTGCCATTCTTATAATTCTATATAGATTTTTATACTGATAATTATCGCACATAATTCAATCATATTTTATATAAGTAAAACGCTCCATTGAAGCTATTTCTTTGTTCATGATTTTAAATTTAAATTGATTATATTCCTCGATATTGCAACACACATTGTTTTCCTTTGTGTAACATAACAGTTTTTCAACATAGTAACATGTAATGAAATGTTAAAGTCAAGAGTAAACGACGGAAGACTATTCACTTGTAAAACTACTGTAGTAAATTAATGAATTTCTAGTATAGATTTAGTAGGACTCGGGAAGGAGTTTAAGACTTCCTGATCAACATTCTGCAAAAATAACATGATCAGATAATAATTTATCATTTAACAGTTAAAAGACATAATTAACCAAAATTAATTGATGTTTTTTTCGAGCATGTTCAATAGTTCGAAAAATATTTTGTTAAATACTTTTTTGGTCACTACATATTGGTTATCATATCTATTAGATTGGTAATCATCGTTGAAATTAAAAATATCTGAGACATTACCTAGAGATACAATAGAAAAAATCATCTTCTCATACAAGAGTGAATTACAATTTAAATTCAGTTTTTATTACTCTGTTATACTACTAGATTAGTACAACAAATTGTATTTTTTTAAATATATTCAGGAGTTAACGATACATATAATATTTTGCTTACATTTCCTTACTTCAAAAGTAATAGAAATAATATAAAAAAAACTTCTTGATACAGTTATCATTGACATATTGATTACATCCATATTAGTATTTACTAATTTGTCTAATATATTTGTGCTATATGGAAGTATTAATAATTCAATGATCATCTATTGTAAGTGTAATCAATGACCAGCACAATCAAATTTCAGATCTCTATAAAAAACCTATTCATTCACACATATACTGGAAAAAATATTCTTGAAAAAGTAGACAGTAAATATTATTATACTATGTATATATGCGTTATGTATATTATAAACCTCTTGATTAAATTCAATTATAGATCAAGAAGAAGCCATTTTATTTAACAAACAAAAAGAACAATGGTAATTGTTACAAAACACAGAAGCTAAAGACGAATAGAGTATAATATAATATTGAATTTCAAATAGTTTAATGTTTTTTTCCCATGCGAGTATTTCCTCCATCAAATTTAAGCGAATGTACACTTGCAAAACTATCATAACCAGCTAAGATAACACATTTGAAATGACGAACTTCAAGTGATCGATCTAATGTATGAGAAGTTACTTGAAGATTATTCTCATTATTTGATAATGCTAAAAATAAAAATAAAATTCATATAATTATTAACGATATTTTAATTGTACTTTTTTCAAGAATAGTTTCAAAATTCTTCGGATCTTGATTACTAGTTGAAAACATAACAAATCGTTTAACTAAGAAAATCAAAAGCACATTAATAATAACAGAAAGAAAATATTTCATATGTAACATACCATTACTAGTAACAAAACGTAATTCACGTACATCAATTGATTCTTTGAATGTAAGAATAAATTCTTGAGGATATAAACCTGTTGTCATCCAAAATACATTTTCACTTCTAATAGAATAAATAATGTTATATCTTTCAATTTAACTCTTTAATATGATTATACTTACGGATCAAGAATATTACTTGGTGGATAATCTTGATCAGCACTTGATGACATCGAAACAAATGCATTTGACTCTGTAAGTGTCATCTTCAAAATAAAATAAATAGATAATTAGTAATATATTTTTAAATCTTTTATTTTGTTATTTATTTTTAAAAAGAAAAAAAAGTTAAAAAAATATCACAATGAATAAAATATGATTAACAGCTTTTTGGATTAATTATGTTTGTGAACCAATATGTTGTTCTTCTTAGATCAATGACGTTGGAGTATAAAATTTTTAATGATAAAAATAAAACAATCTAATACTTTTACATAATTTTAATTATTAATCTGCATGTCGTCTTATTTATAATTACAATTTTTCAATTGTATCATTATTCATTACTGTTTTTGATCACTCGAAATCTATTCATATTGTTAAATCAAGTTCTTTTTTCATCTATGAAATGCATGTTCATTTCTTGGGTACATCATAGATAATCTTAATTAGTAAACATCGATTATTTGAGAGATACAATTGTTTTAATTCATCAATAATACATAATTTTCATGATAAATATGAATATGCATTGGTAATACTTATCATAGACTTTTTGATTTGTGTTATATTGATTAATTTCATCCATCAGAAAAGAAAACTTGTTTTTCTACTGTACCATGGTTTTATATAAAAAAAAATTAAAGAAAAGTAGACAGACATTAGTTGTCATCAATGAATATTGTAGTCAAGATAGTTACTATTTATTTTAGATACACTAATATAATAGAGGTCGTTAAATTACGAAGATAATTTTTTGATTTATATATCAGCATTTTGATTTTGTTCAAAGTAACAAAAGAAAATAGTGTTTCGAACAGCAATTCTATTGAAATTAGAGATTTCTAAGCAATATTTTTCTTTAGCTGAATATTCTTGTAATTATAATGGATTTCAAATAGAACATAAAAAGAAATAGATTAGTATATATTGAAGTAAAGGTTAACAAATAATATGAAAAAAATTAAAATAATTGTCAGTATATAGTCTAAGTTTGTATTGTTTTGATAATAATTTAGCGATTAGAATTTTATCCATTAGCTTGTGCAGCTGCATGTACAGACATTGTATACGATGACTGGCCATTCGTTGTACAACTAGGACCAAATGAAGGATAATTTCCTGGACCAAAACATCCAGTTACATATGGGTATTTGGTGGTAGCAAAATAAGCATAATTACCAATACTATCATAGAACATTCCATTACAAATATCGATGCCTGACGTCACTATGTTGCCTGATGCTAAATAGGGTTCATAAATGACATGACCATCTTTTGCAATACCTATGACTGTTAATTTCTTAGCTGATGAAGGAAATGTTGAAAGAGCATAACCAGCAATGTCCGATGAGCATGCAGGTGTTGTAGTACATGATGAAAGATTACCAGTTGGTGGTGAAACAGCACATCCACTAGCCATATGATAATGATAGACGCCATTTGTTTGAGGATGAGCTAAACAAGTATCGACTGTTTCTACAGCGTATCCAGCAGGTGGATAAAATGGATCAACATCAACTGCACTGTTTACATTGAGAATTGGTACATTATCGATACTCATTCCAGCCACTGTTCCAAGAGATGCGACTGAAGAATATGACGTTAAATTCGAGCCCGATGGAGCATATTGTTGATTTGTAATGGAACATACGATATCATCAAGTGCGCTTTGTGTTGTTGGTGAGTGTGTTTGTGAGTTGACATTCACAGTTGGATTGAAATTAACTTCAAAATCTATATTTTGCTCTTTTAAAAACGTAGTTGGCGGTACGCTGGCACATCGTCCTGGAAGAGCATTTGATTGAACTCGAATACGAACTGTCGAACCATTTATACATGTTACAGCTAATTTTCGTTGCCAAGTGCATATTCCGTTAACCAAAGAGCCTGGACATGAGCTACTTGTTAATTGAGAACATGTTACAGTAACACCGGTTGTTGCTGTTATGTTTGCTACAGGTCCAGAAATTGTTGTTGCAAATTTTGATGCTACTGTAAGACATGTTTGATAGGCTAAAAATATTATAATTCATTTAAATATATCACAACAAAATATAGTTTTCTACACTTTACTAAATTGACTCGTGTCATATGAATGATAATGAAAAACCGATTGATGATTTTTCCTGATAAAAATATTTCTCATATAAATCACACAACTATTTGATTAGTTATTGTTATCAGATAGAACTCTTCAGAATTAACAAATAGAGAGAAATATATCACAATACCTGATATTGATGCGACACTTTGGTTAGGTATATAAAGCGAAATGAGACTTAAAACAACAGTGGCTGCAATAGCAAATACTGTGAATATGATAGCACAAATGGCAAGTGCTACTTTTCCCAGCATTATTGATCTAAATAAAAGTAAAAGCGACAGATGAAAATTTCAGAGAGAACTTCTCTTAATTCTATTAAAAGTAACAAGATAGTTGGAAAAGACGTGCTAACTTACTCTCTGTAAATAACTATACTTAAAATAAATATTATAAAAATGATAATTAGAAAATCTAAAAAGAAATCAAAATGACTCTATGTATTAACAGAAAAGTTATAAAAACATATACATATATTATATTTTCTAAATATACGTCTTGTTTGAGCGATATGCATCAGTTATTTATGATATCAGTTTGCAATACAGTGTAGCGTTGCAGGTGAAATGCACGAGAAGCCATCTAAAGTATTCACTAATATGTCATAGTATTTTTTTTTATTTTTTTTTTGGTAATAATACACGAGGTCTATTGTACCTATTTTATGTTATTGGTCACGGTTGTTATTTATAATTTATGCATTGCTATACATGTTATTGACTGTCTTAATATATGGCCTTCAAAATTAAGCATACAAAAAACCTAACAAGAACGTCTCATTAAAATATAAGTAATTTGAGGGAACGAAATAAAGGTAGATGACTGATAGATACACTGAAATGACTCAGAGAAGGCATCATAGAAATATGCACATGTATCTTTCATAATCAAACGATGGAATCGGTGATAACGTTCACATAAGTAAGAAGCAATAAACACAGACGGTATATGTCACTTGTTTTTAACTAAAACCTGACAACATACATTCAAAATACCTTCTCAAGTAGAAACAGATATTTTGATTAATGGTATAGATTATGCTACATGACATGAATATATAATACTTTGATGGTAAAATTGAGATAATACTACAAAATTATTAGAAAAAAAATAGAACAATAATTGATACTAATTTGATAACAAATGGTTCTTCGTATCTGAACTAATATATTCTATTTTTTTTCTAATTTATTTGTAAAGATAAAATATCAAGCAAAATATTCTTAAATTCGATAGAATAATTTATATTGTTGTCATTAACTGACATTTATTATGAATAAATGAACCTCATTTATTCTTGATTGTGTCTTATATTAGTCAAATACTAACAATGTAAAAATTCCATAGTAAGAAATTCAATGGAGTTGTTAGAAAAAAATTAGAATTTATTTAAAAAAAGATAATAATATATTAAATAATGTCATAACAAAAAACAAATATAATATCCCTTTACTTCGTATAGTTCTATTAAATGGGTACTTCCATAGATAGTCAACCACAAAAAAACACAAAAATATACGACGGTCTTAATGACAAAATATTGTCATTAATTGGTGAAATTAAGAAAAAGTTTCTTTTATAAATTGATCAGCGTCAAATTCTCTACAAAATAGAGGCTACCTCTTGGTTGGGGACACTTTTTCGAGCTAATTAGTATAATGTGTCCGCAAAATAGAATCTGGAATAGAGACACAAAAATGACCGCACGTTAGAAAACATCCACAAAGTGGAGACGGGGGAGAGGAAAAAATGTCTACATTGTGGAATGACGAGAATATTTATTATGTGAGTGAATAAACGACGTTTTAACAGTTGAATCTTCATATGTCTTAACTATAGTATTATGCATTTTATGTGTACAAATCCAAAGTGTGGTTCCATTCTTAACTGTTCGTTTTAACCCGAAACGATAGTCTTTGAACATTATTCCATTGTTACCAGATTGTGTGGTAATTGTAGAAAATCTATTATTGTTTACAATCGACATTTTCTTATAATTTATCGAATTTTATTTCGCTCGCTTTAAATAGTTAAGCTCATAGTACATACTAAACACGACCGCGATCACACATTTTATTCGACACTGTTCAACTCAAAAGATATAACACCCATTCTGAATTGGATTTACCTCGATTAATCATATTATTTTCTCTATTTTCGATTGTTTCCGTAATGAAGACATATTTTTTTCTTTCCCCCGTTTCCGCTTTGCGGATGTTTTCTAACGTGCGGTCATTTTTATCTTTCTACCCCGGATTCTACTTTGCGGACACTTCTTTCTACCAATTAAGAAAAAATGTCCGCAATCAAGAAGCCACGAAAAATTATTTGCCTTCAAAAATTCTCACATAATTAACTATGTGCAAAGCTTAGATGAGTATGATTATACAAGTATAAGTCATCTTGACCATGAAATTTTTATCAGAGTCAATTTATTTCAAAAGAGACACAATCATGTATAAAATAATTTATAAAAATCATAATAAGAAGAAAACTATTCATTTCTTAAATTAAACCGATTTTGTATAAAGAATCGGCATCTATTATTCATATTTTTTGTATCAGAAGGAGGATGTGCATTTATAGCTGATCTTTTATATTGAATAACGTATTCTGGATATGCTTGACCGGATTCATATAAAATAAATTCACGATATTGTAAACTATTTGCACTATATTTCATTGATTCACCCATAACTGAATTATATAAATCAAGTGAATTATCTTTAAATGGTGATCGACGTATTGGATTTCCTCCTTTTCCACGATAAACTTTTTTATCATAATTCATTGCTATATGAACATCTAACAATACACGATAAACAATAATTGAATATTGTAGATCATTTTGATTTTCACAAGAACAACCTTTTTCGGAGAATATCACATTTTTCTCACAATTGGGGCATGGAATATATTGAGGGTGTGGGTGTGGCTAAATATATATCAATGTCTATATTTACACATACGCTTACACCCACCCTCAAACGTGTTTTTTTATTTTTCCGCTTAAGTTGTTTCGAACGCTCAAAGTCTTATCATTTTCATATTTCGACTTTCCACCTTAGTTGGGAGAATCAAAAATATTTCTTAAAATTGATTATTTATGTTTATTGAAAAGATCGATTTGTTAATTATTCCAATTTTTAACAAGATTTATCAAACAAATTCATTACTGGTAGACGGTGACATTAACGTAAAAATTATATGAATTATTCTCTTTGTTTGCTTTTAATTCGAACACATTCAAGACGATTCAGTTTTTTTACTAGAATTGATTGGGATACTCGTTCTTATGAAGACTAAATTTCTAATAAATAGACTTACTAATCTTTTGTATGTTCTATCAACTTTTTACTGTGTTCTTTTTTCGTACTATTAGTAAGTGAATTGAATCTCATGTCTCCTGTACTGATATTGTTCAGTTATATAAAAACGGTCAAAATTTCTAGAATTCTTGAATATTTTACATGTCATCAGAAGCCAATACACAGGCTAGTACTGACTGATTCACTGGAGTGAGAAAGAATCATAATCTGCTGATGAATCCCTGGAAGATCATGGAATTGTTGAATAAATAACATCAAATTTCTAAGATAGTACAATCAATCTTACCGATTGCTATCAGCATTTCAACACCGACAAAATTATTAGTCTTATCATTTCCGAAACTAATACATATATAGAACAATACTTACTAACACAAAAGCTTAGCAAATGATCGAAAAATCCTCAGTAGTTTATAGTTTACATAGAGAAAGAGAACTCAATAGTCGGTCTTGGACATTCTGAAATAATCACCATGCAATTATTAGAAGACCTTTTAGAATACTATCGAACTATAGTAACTGACAACTTTTTTTCACAAGTGTTGCTCTCACGAATCGATACCGTTCTCACTGTAACATTGATAAGTAATCGTGTGAGATCGGAAAAAGCAATTGTTCTGAGGAAACGCTAGAGAGATGAGTTCTATGGACATCGGAACGGTGATAGTGCCAAGTTGATCAGATGGAGAGATGAAGGGGAGATATGAATGCTAATTTGAAAGAGATAAGAGACACTCACACATCCTCACATTTTCAATCAAATCACTAAGATAAATCGACATAGATCACGATAACAAAAATAGAAATGAAAGGAGGAACGAGATGAGTAGAAGGGAGCATGGAAACGAGGTAAGAAGAGGAGTAGAGAAGTAAACAAAGTAAAATTGATACGAAATGAATAAAAAAGAGATATGTACAGTTTTTGTCTTTATTTCTTTTAATAACTTCTACTCATATTTCATGCTAGCATATCTATTCTTTTCTCAGTCTGTTCTTTCATTGTTACACTTGAATAATTGTTTATATGTTTTATTTTTACTGTGCATATTTTATTACTATTCATTCATTATTTGTTTATTTATTAATTTGTTTGTCTCTCCTTAGCTCTCTTCCTCGTTTGGACTCATTTCTTTCTATTTTATTTTATTATTACTGCTGCATTTTGGAATGTTTCACAGTCCCTTAACGACTGTCATGGTCGTACGGTGACATTGCAAATATAAAAAAAATATTTGTTGTTGAACATTTCTATATTTTTAATTAAAAATTTTCTACTATTAATATATTCTTTACATATATATAGTTCGGTCATGGAATTTTTAATTTAGCATTAAAATCAACAACACCTATATTTTTATTGTTTTCTTTTTCATGATGTTAACCTTATTCCAGAAAATGATTTTAATGCATATGAATATGGTAAACAAAGACCTCGACATTTAGTATCAGCAATTGACGAATTAAGTTGTTTGTAAGTTTAATGAAAATTAAAACAAAAATCTACTCAAATCGTTCCGAAACATTAATTTACATTTAAAAAACATGGAAGATATGTCTCTGTTATGTAGAATCATATTAATTCCTTTATTTTATCCATTTCAATAACTGACTTGATGATTGCACTCTAGTATATAGACGTTTATTGGATTAAATAAAACGATATTGCTCAATAAAATTTTTATTGAGAGACTTCAAAATATGGTTATTAAATATTTCTAACTATCTACTAAACATCGTTGTAAGATGATATATCGAGTATTGAAGTTAAATATGACATAATTTGGTTAGCTTAGATTGAGAAAATTCAGGTAAATTATTGGTTTAATATTTATGTTCTTTAATAATAATAATTAACGTTTAGATTGTGTTCAAAGTAATGAGAGAAAATAGTGTTTCGAAGAGCAATTATATTGAAAATTAGAGAGTTATAAAAATTTTTTTACTTAAACTGAACAATCAACGCAAAGCTATATTTGATCTCTTTGATATAACTTATTTGTTTCAATACAATGAATATAAGAAACTACGACATATTCTTGTAATTATAATGGATTTCAAATAGAACATAAAAAGAAATAGATTAGTATAAAACAGAACAAATTATTTACAATATATGTTAAAGTAAAGAATCTTTACTAAAGATTCACGAATAATATGAAAAAAATTAAAATAATTGTCAGTATATAGTCTAAGTTTGTATTGTTTTGATAATAATTTAGCGATTAGAATTTTATCCATTAGCTTGTGCAGCTGCATGTACAGACATTGTATACGATGACTGGCCATTCGTTGTACAACTAGGACCAAATGAAGGATAATTTCCTGGACCAAAACATCCAGTTATGTATGGGAATTTGGTAGTAGCAAAATATGCATAATTACCAATACTATCATAGAACATTCCATTACAAATATCGATGCCTGACGTCACTATGTTGCCTGATGCTAAATAGGGTCCATAAATGACATGACCATCTTTTGCAATACCTATGACTGTTAATTTCTTAGCTGATGAAGGAAATGTTGTAAGAGAATAAGAAGCAATATCTGCGGCACATGCAGCGGTTGCACTACACGATGAAATATTACCAGTTGGTGGTGAAACAGCACATCCACTAGCCATATGATAATGATATATGCCAGCCACTTGAGGATGAGCTAAACAACTATCGACTGATTCTGCAGTGTATCCAGCAGGTGGATAGAATGGATCGACATCATTTGCGCTGTTTACATTGAGAATTGGTACATTATCAATACTCATTCCAGCCAGGGTTGTAAGAGTTGAAGCTGAAGAATATGACGTTAAATTTGAGCCTGATGGAGCATATTGTTGATTTGAAATGGAGCAAACGATAGCGTCGAGTGCACTTTGTGTTGATGGTGAGTATGTTTGTGATTTAACACTCACAGTTGGATTGAAATTAACTTCAAAATCTATATTTTGCTCTTGCATACTCGCAAATGATGGCACATCTGCACATCGTCCTGGAAGAGCATTTGATTGAACTCGAATACGAACTGTCGAACCATTTATACATGTTACAGCTAATTTTCGTTGCCAAGTGCATATTCCATTGATCAGAGGACCCGGACATGAGCTAATCCCTATTTGAGAACATGTTACAGTAACACCGGTTGTTGCTGTTATGTTTGCTACAGGTCCAGCGATTGTTGTTGCAAATTTTGATGCTACTGTAAGACATGTTTGATAGGCTAAAAATATTATAATTCATTTTAATATATCATAACAAAATATAGTTTTCTACACTTTACTAGATTGACTCGTGTCATATGAATGATAATGAAAAACTGATTAATGATTTTTCTTAATAAAACTATTTTCCGTATAAATCACAAAACTATTTGATTAGTTATTATTATCAGATGGGACTTTTCGGAATTAACAAATAGAGAGAAATATATCACAATACCTGATATTGATGCGACACTTTGGTTAGGTATATAAAGTGAAATGAGGCTTAGAACAACGATAGCTGCAATAGCAAATACTGTAAATATGATAGCACAAATGGCAAGTGCTACTTTTCCCAGCATTATTAATCTAAATAAAAATAAAAATAAAAAACAAAATCGTCAGATGAAAATTTCAGAGAGAACTTCTCTTAATTTTATTAAAAGTAACAAGATAGTTGGAAAAGACGTGCTAACTTACTCTTTGTAAATAACTATACTTGAAAGACGTATTATAAGAACGACTATTAGAAAAATCTAAAAAGAAACCAAAACGAGGCTAGATAGGAACAAGGTTACAAAAAACATATATGTATGTTATATTTTTGAAATATACGTCTTTTCTGATCGATATGCATCAGTTATTTATAATGTCAGTTTGTGACACTAATTAGCATTGAAAGTAAAATGTATGACCATTCATCTGAAGTATTCACTAAATTGTCATATCTTTCTCTATTTATTTTTTGTAATAGAACATGACGCCAATCTTACCTGTTTTATATCCTTCGTTATAGTTGTTATTCATAATTTATGAATTACTATACATATTTGTGTAAGGTTTTAGTGCTTCGTCTTCAAAACTAAGCATACAAGAAAATTGATAACAACGTCTCATTAAAGTATAAATAATTTGAGAAAATGAAATAAAGATAGATGACTGATACACTGGAATGACTCAGAGAAGGCATAATTGAAATATGCGCATATATTTGTCGCAATCAAACGATAGATTCGTTGTTAATATTCGCATAACTAATAAGTAAGACATGGATGATATATGTCATTTGTTTTTAATTAGAAACTGACAACACACACATATTCAAAATACCTTTACAAGTAGAAACAGATATATTGATTAATTGTATAGATTATGCTGCATGAGTACATGATATTTTTATAATAAAATTGAGATAATGCTACAAAATAATAAACAATTCAATGCAGAAAATTACTATAAAAAAAGAACAGTAACTAATACCAATTTGATAACAAGTGGTTTTTTATATCGAAACTATTGTATTCTTTTTTTTATTTATAAAGATAAAATATTAAGCCAGTTGATCTTTTGTTCAATGATATTTTCTTGGTTTTAAAAATCATAAAAAGTTTATTAGTTTTTGTGTATTTATTTATTATGAACAAATGAACTGCGTTTATTCCTAACTATATATGATATTGATAGAATACTAAAAATGTAATTATTTCATAGTACGAATATCAATCTTACTAATGATGAAATGTATTTGATTCAAGTGAGTTTTTTGAAAAAACTAGAATATATAAAAAAAAGCGTTTTATTTAATAATAAATAGATTTTTGTCTACATATATCAAATATGGCAATTTCATTCGAAAGAAAAATTTGCTTTTACTTGTAATAGTCTTCGATATATTGCTCACAAAACGAAGCATGATTCAATAAAAATAAAAAATATTCGATAATTAAAGATATATGGGTAAGTATCATAATAATAATAAATATAAAAAAATGAACGAAATCATTAATGACAGTTTAGAAAGATCGTTATATAGATGAAAGAAAATTATATTATCATTATCTTGTCATTTGTATCAGAATATCATCTTTTATCAAGTTCTATATAACTTTACGGAGACTATTAGTGATAATTTCAATTCAAATAAAAAAGTCATGGAAGTTCGCTTATATCCTTTTAATTGTTATAATTAAATACTTGCGGTAACTACATCATACGATGGAAGTAATTAGAATTCACTTCCTACTAAAAAATGATGATTTGTTTGTTTCTTGGGAAGTTTAGGAAGAACAATTAGCCTTGTTCTGATGATAAAGTTGTAGTGCTGTCACTATTAAACAATGATTATAATCAGTGTTTTTTCGTCATTATTAGCTATAAGTGTTATTAGAATATGATAATAATAGTGGGCAGATTTTTTCTATGCTTGAAAGAATGTGATAGTAACAACTGATGTACTTACTAATAAATTTTAGAGGCAAATTAGTGAACTTTGTAGCTATTTTTATTAACAATATCTAATTGACTATTCTACATCATTATCGTTTGTATATTACATACAATATGTATTTAAAAGAGCAAAACTATAAACAAGAAAATGATAATCATTAATACTAATTTACATCAGTAACACATTTCTAAATTCATATTTAACGTGATTCAATATTGTGGCCTAGTGTTACGTATGCAATTAGAGTGAAAGAGTCGTTAAAGTCGGTACAAAGACAGTTATTATAGTATGGATAATGTTTTGTGCTATGATGTAGATGAGCACTAAGTAAATTTATAAGTTACATATCTTCGTAAGTTTCAATGTTTTTTTTTCTGAATTTATATAATTTCATTCATCATTGATATGTTGACATTAATTAACGTGAGATAAACATTTGTACGCAGATGTGAATGTCTGTATGGCGCGTTTGTTATTAATAAACTGATTCTAGATAGTCCAACAGACACTCGTGAATAAAAGAAGAAAACTTATTAATTCAATTTCTATATTACTTTCTTCTTTTTGATAGTAGCCTTGAATTTTTATAAATGGTAAGCACCATATTTTTTTCTCTTCCTTATATAAAAGTGTATAAGGTAGACTTCTTGAATAGGCTGCCATGTCGTTCTTTGCTTCTTGAAATCATGCTGCCGTCCTCTGTTAAATAATGACAACTACACTCTTTTAGTTTGTATGTACGTGAAGGCTGCACGTTTTTTTTCTCTTATAGTAAATAAATGGTGAAGGTTGTCGTTTTTTCCAGATGAATAGCATTTCTGTCACATGGTATTCAATGAAATCGGCAGTATGATAAGCACCTTTTTATAAGTATATAACAATAATAAAGATTATCATGTAACAGTAAAATTATATATGATTGAATTGTTTTCTTATCGTTGTTTAAACTTAAAAGCTTTCTCAACAAATAAAATGGTTTCAACAAGTGGGTATGTACACATTAAAATAAAAATAAGTATAATATAAATGTTTTTTTTAATTTGTCATCTAAAAGAATGAAGAAAAAACAGAAAAGAAGCCTGTTGAAATTTAATTGACATTCTAGTTTTTGAATATAAGTAAGTATTTAAACATCTGAATTCAGATGAATGATTAAGTACTAAATGTAACTAGACAAGAGACAGATTTAGAAAAAAATAGATATTAGTAGTATTCTTCTGTTATCAATATATATATTCGAACTACCCATTGTCGACAAGGAAAGATGATATATACATATATAATTTTTAGAGTACTTCTTGAAAGTTATGTTATATTTTGAAAAAAAGGAAGTTAATTAAATTTTTCAATTCTAAACTTTTGTAACAAAAATGTATAGATAAAACAAATAATGTTAAATAAAGAGATGCATCCATTGATGTTATGTATAAATATAAACAATTAGATACTATCTTTATCAATGCTGAGAGTTATAATAAAGTAATTAATAGTTCTAGGCAATAGGGTCAAACAGTTTATCAAACTGTAATGATTTTATATTTCTTAAAAGATTATATATTATTTAAACGTACGAAATAGGATTGATTAACATAAATATGTTGTTATCATCTGAATGATATATTCAATTATTTAATTTAGAAGAAAGTTTTCGATTTAGAGAGCAATGTTATCATCATATCTGTTATTTTGATTTCTGAAATCTTTTATTATACACAATGATTTGCTTGGTTACAAGTTTACTATTTATCTCAAAGTAGTTAAGATCCTATCTTTTCTCGTGTACTGACTGATGCAGGAAGAGAAAAGAATTTCTTTTTCTTCTACCTTAGACTACATGTATATATATACAAAGAAATTTTTTTCTTTTCTACATTAACTAGCGCACGAGAAAGCATAGGGTTTGAATTACTTTAAGATGAATAGTAAACTTATAGCCAAACACATCATTTCGCTACAAAACTGTATCTTCCAAAAAAACCGCGATCAATAAAAGGCCTTTTCAAAACCTTTTTTTATAGCCAACATTTTTAAAAGTAAAGAAATTATCGAGAAAAAAACGAAGGAAATCGAGTAGTTTCTTGGAAACTTTCCAAAATCCATAAAAATCTTTTTTTTGTACAATGAAGCAAAAAATTCCAGGCTTGCAAATGATATAAAAAAATTCAATAAAATATTTTTTCTTCGTGATGAAATTTGAATTATACGATAGATATGATAGATTGTCGAAATAACTTTTTTATATACTGTACATGTCTGATAAGCACTTGAATGTGAAAAAAGGAAAAAAAATCTTTCATTGTATTCAATGTGGGACTAAAGAAAAGTATGAAACATTTATAAAACATAAAAATATTGAGTTTTGCCGATCTTAGACAGCACGAAGTACGGATTGTATTTTATATAAATATAATCATTTCATAAAAACAAAGAAATAAGGAGAAGAGAATGAGTTAATTAAATCTTTAGGCAATAGTTGTTGGTTTATATGTAAGAATATTTTTTTTCTCCGAGAAACTAGTTTAATCACTAGCATCAATAAAAGCAAAAAAAACGGTATTTTAGATGACTAAGTTTCTTCGCTAGCATTGCCGATTGTAGTAAGAAAAAATTTCACTGGTTGTTATAAACACGCAATTGTGAATATGTCATTTTGAAAGAGGATGAAGTCTGATATAATTATGGCTAGAGAAACAATAGTGATACTTACAAGGTTTTATTTCAGAAACTCCATTCCCTTATATCTTATCTCTACAGGATTTTTTTCTGTTATTTTAAGCTTTTCATTTTCACAGTAAGATACGACTGGTGAGTCCGGAATCAAATTACCTTGATATGACTATTTTGAAGTAATAAAGGTAAAAAAATCGTTTTATTCTATGTAGATAGATTAAATACCAATGTAGACTTCAAATGAATTTATTATGATTAATACTAAGTAGAAAATTCTATTATTAGCATACATCTCTGTACTATCTTAGATATTAATTGAATTTATGACATTATGAAGAAAAATAAATAATTTGAATTACCACTTTCATAATCAAATATAAACATAAAACATTAGACAAATGAAAAGGAACGACATTCTTTTTATTGTTTCATACTCTTTCTATTTCTGAATTGTCAAGAATTTCAGCTAGAAATGAATAGCAATTTGAGATTGTATAAATTTATGTTAAAATGTCTTTTATAAAACTAATAGACGTGAAGAATATTTGTGATTTTTACAGACCTTCTATATATTGTTTGACAATGTTTGTCACATAAATTTTTATGACAAATTAGTTCTAATATAGGCTAATAAACTTCTCCATTCTGACATATACATATAGAACATTATTTTTATAGCTATATAAATATGAATGCTATAGTATATTTATTCAGTTTTAAAATATGTTAATCAATCATTTTCAATGCTTTTGTTACTAAAGAGTAATTCTGTTCACTAACATCAAACATTTTACATAAGTAAATCACACGTCTCATTAATTCAATAGGAATAATAAGTTCAAATAAAAAGAGAACATATTTTACAACAATGACTATAGTTAAGATTCTTATGTAGTTGTAAAATATTGACAAATAACTAGAGAAATATACTATTTTAATAAAAAAATTTTTTAAGAATCTTTTTGTAGCTCAATGAATTGTACATAAAATACGATATTTTATTTTTTGATAGTCATCATTTTTTCAATTAGTTTTTGTAAATAATGATTATAGATAGAATTGCTATACCCAATAGATATCTATAAAGATATTATCGAATTTATAAATACTTTGACGTATTGCAAATTAATAATATCAGATAGTTACGCAATACTGTTTTTGACTAAAACATTAATTAGACTTTTATGTCTTTCTAATAAACGTCGACTAAGTATGTATAAGTTAGGTACTGAATGTTTTTTTTTCGTCAGAAGTTCGATGTAATAATAAACTGAAGTAACATAAAACAAAAAAAAGAATCACAATAAAGTGAAAGGTGTGCAATAAGAAATAAGAGAAATGAAGCATGACGGTTAAATATCATTGCGTGTCTATCATATGATCTCTTATGACATCCTCATCGAATAAAATGTGGACTCAAATGCAACATTTGCAATGTTAAAACATGTTTAAAGTTTGATCAATCTTGAAAAAACAACATAGTATCATTTTTCATAGCAGAGTATGTAGATGTTAGAGTAATGAGAGATGAAGATATTTTGTATTCATTTTTCTTTCTCTTTCTCTTATTAGTTTTCTATATGTAACACGTGAAAGAATATTTTTCTAATGTTCTTTTCTTTTCTAATAAACAATTCAGCATGGTTTTAAATCTTTATAGTCATAATAAAGAATAAAGATAAAGAAATAAAGTAATGATAAAATGATACCCCTAATCTTTAGAAGAACAATTTATGGAGTTTTAACATTACTACGTTACGTCTGCTGATGAGTAATAGCCGCATCTTCAAACATACACCAATAAGAAACAATACTTTAATAGTTTTAATAGACAATATTAAATATTTTCACATGGTAACATATGTAGCCGGCTGTTGCATTATCATGTAATTATTGTCATTACAATGCATTAAAATGAAAAAAATTGGCTATGATTACATGATACTACAACAACCGATCGCATAGGTTAATACATTAAGTGAATAGGTTAAGATTCTTGTATTTTTTTAATAAGTCATTTGCTTTTATAATATGAAAAATATATTTTAATAAATACTTGTTAAGATTTTAAAATCAAATTTTTCATTTCTGTATCATTTCAGATCAATGATAAATACGAGAAAATATCTTCGAATAAAAAATAATGAACATCTACCAGTGATTATTCTAGCAATCACTATTTTTGTAGTTATTCATCTATGTAATAAACATGACGAAAAAACGGCGAATCAATATATAATGGAAGATAATGATAAAGAAAATCATCAATTATGTCCATTATATCCGTCTACTCTTCAAAGTATGTTATAGATGGAATGTGATTAATATTTTGACAATTATTTATTATTACTATTTGTTTTAGAACATGTACAGCTTGATATGTCAACGAATTTGGAATGGGCAGATGTTGAACAAAATCTCAAAAATGTACAAACAGGTAAAAATGAATATCACTATATAACAACTAACCCATATTTGTTGATCTTTTATGAAATATTCAATAATTGAAATTCGTTGATATTTTATAAAAATTTTAATATATTAAATGCATTTTCATAATCATTGTACTATTTCTAATAGCAACAAAACTATATAGTATAATGTTTATCGATATACATTGGCATTCTTATCGTTTGAATAGTTGAATATTATACGACACTCTAACACTTATGTAAATATATGATAAAAGAGTCAAATATTTAATTTTTATATATGAGTATATCAAATTTTTTTTGTATGATATATATGCAAATCTCGAAGGAAATAAATTAGATCTTAAAAATACATAATATAAGAAGATCATAATTAAAAAGAACAATCTTATCATACAAGTATATTGATACGGAGGAAAGATTTCTTTTCTAATTATTGCTAGGTGGTATTTACACTCCAGATGATTGTATATCTCGACAAAAACTTGCAATTATTATTCCATTTCGTAATCGAGAAACTCAACTTAAAATACTCTTACGTCATCTTCATCCATTTTTACAACGACAAAAACGTGCTTATCGAATATTTGTTGTTGAACAGGTTTATATTTATTAATTAAAAATATTTTCTTCATATAAATATATATAGTTCGGTAATGGTACTTTCAATAAAGGTTTGATTATGAATGTAGCATTTAATCAAGCATCAAAATCAACAACACCTATATTTGATTGTTTTATTTTTCATGATGTTGATCTTATCCCAGAAAATGATTTTAATGTATACGAATGTGATAAACGAGGACCTCGACATTTAGCACCAGCAGTTGACGAATTACGTTATTTGTAAGTTTAATAAAAACAAAAAAAAAATTTTTTCTCTTGAATCGTTCTGAAACATTAACTCATTTCCTTCTAGTTTAATGTACAATGACTTGATCGGTGGTGTTCTTGGTTTAACCAAAGAACAATTTTTTAAAGCAAATGGTTGGTCAAATTTGTATTGGGGTTGGGGAGTAAGTTTATTATAATATTTCATATATCAAATCATCATTTCTTCTTCAAATGCATTAGTTTGAAGATGATGGTAAGTTTAGTAAATAAGAAAATATGTTATTTTATTGATTTTTATTTGTTAGATATGAATCATAGGTTTGTAAAAATGTCTCCGTCTTTATGATTATACTTTTGTTGGAATTTATTAGATTACACCATGCAGGTTATCATGTTAGTCGACCACCAAATCTTGTTGGTCGATATAAAATGATTCGTCATGAAAAGCAAACACCTGCAGTAAACAGGTATTTTATTTTTGTTGCTATAAAATGAATAATATATGTATATTGATTGAATTTCAGATATGGAACATTAAGTAAATGGCTTCGTTATTCTTATGATGGCATTCGACAACTTAGTACATTAGATTATTCCATTGTTACGACAGAGACACATCTATTGTATACTCATATTTTAGTCAATTTCACTCGTTCAGCGACAAAGACTATTGATCATTTGTTAGAAGATATACCAAAAGCAAAATAAAATAGATTATGTTAATTATTGTTTCTCAATTTTTTAGATTATTTAATATTTCTAGAAAAATATATCTAATCAACGAAATAATTATGATAGTAAGTACTTATTTTTATCAGTTAATCTTTATCAATAAACTATGAATTCATAGGTTCATCAAATATATTATTGATATGCAGCAATATTAATTAAATTCTAAAAATATATTTAAGTTCCAGTTAGTAATCGTTATTTATTTATTACTTAATTTATATCGGTAGTGAATAGCTATTAAATTATATCTGATTAAACAAAATATTATTTGTAAATGATGAAAAACCGTCTTATTATATCATCCGTCTTCCTTCATTTACTATTGCAACTAATATTGACTACTATTTCGTCCATACATTGGTTTTTATTATTAATTTCATTTATTGTCTATACACTTATACTTTATAAACAATATTATTATTCGAAAAATCCTAGTCTTTTTTGTAATCATTATATATCATCGATAATCTTTACTGCTATTCACTTTATATTTGTTCTATCTTATAATAAAATACTTCCGTGGGAAATTGGTCTTGTCATTTTATTCTTACTGCTTATTCTTCATTATTCTCGACGATTAGGTGCATCAATATTCAGATGGGATCTTGTTTGGTAAATGAATTTTATATTTGTGTTTCTTGTATTTCTAATATACAGTTATATAGGTTACCTCTTGGTCATCAACAAGAATATGATGCTAACGTGTCTATAGTTGTAATCAAATTTCTTGTTTCAAGTTTACTTTTCTTTGGATATGTATGTCAGTTATGTTTAACAACAGTATGCACACCATCAATGTATTTTGATTGGTTTCTTATTGTTACAGATTGTCGTTATACCTATTCTAATCTACTGTAATTATTTTCTTTTATAAAATCATATGTATTGTATTTTATTTTAGTTCAAGTTACACATTTGCCGGTGGTATTCTTGTCTTATTATCATGGACAGTCGTGTCATTTCTACATTTGATAGTTCACCGATTTAGATCTTAGATATATATGCATAAAAAAATTGTTTCAAGCAATAATGACAAATAACTATGATTAAAAGAGAGATTATAGTGAAATACAATTCATCAAAACGACAAATTTCAATTGAAATATATATGATAAAGATTTTTATTTATGTTTTTAGAATAAATTAAGTTTTAAATAAAATTACGAGCTGTTGTTAGGTAATTTTTGATGACTAACAATAATTACTTAAAAGGCACCTATTTAAATGCTAGCCTAGTCGAATTTCTTGAGAACTATCTGAATCAAGAAGGGGAGAAAAAAACTTCATTTTTTCCCAATGATTTATTTAAATTCTCAATGAATAATTCAAGAAAATTTTTCGAGTCCAATCGAATCTCTCTATAAATAAAGAATGTATAGAAGAAGAAAGAGAAACTTACATTCTAAATAATTTCAAGCAATTCAAATATCTTGTTGTATAGGTTTTACATACATTTCTTCTTATTAAACGTGATAAAATGTATTCTGATAATAAAAACAATAATATGAAAAAAAACTATGTTTTCTTTTTCAAACGATGACTCATTCTAAAATATATTTATAAAACCATTTGATATTGCCCGCTTTTTGTTGCTCATTTTCAAACGTATCATCTTTATTTATTTTTCTTTTTTCTTCTCACATCTGTTTACTATTCTATACAATGTGGAAGACTCGATTCGAAATGAGCACTAATAATAGTAATAATATTATTCGTCATCGTACACTTTCTTCTCCATCAACAACTATAATTCATGATTATAATTCACAATCATTACCAACAGTACCACGTGTTCGAGATAATTCTCCAAATGCACTTACTCGTGTATTACAATCATCATCGATACCTGATCTTGAAATTCTTACTGAAGAAGATGAAGATATTATTCCAATGAATGAGCAACCCAATTTAATATCATTAACATTACATAAACAAAATTCCTATCAAACAAATACTAAACATCAAAAACTTGTTTTACCAACAATTCTTGAATCTCATGATCATGAAACCATGATGGATAATACAACTGAACTTAAATCTCAAGATTCATTTGTAGCAACAAATACAAATTATAATCAAAATGAACAAAAATTTCATACAAATAAAAATAATGAAATGATTGAATTGACAATTAATAAACTTTTACAACAAAAAACTCAAAGAAAAGTACGTGAATTTAAGTTTGTTTTACCTACATGTACTTGTCAATTAAAACAAACTTGTGGTTAAACTTTTTCTTTCCATAAAAAAATTCGAATGTTGTTTTTTTTTTTTATTATTATTATTATTAAATTAAATTTAGTCTATCACTTCATCAACAAATATCGACAATACTGAATTATTAATACCAACTACATTTAAAGATATTAGTATTTTTTTTGAAAATAAAGCATTAATAACTTCGACAATTCAACAAAAGAAAATAATTCGAGCTAAACGATCTCTTTCATTAAATAAAAACATGTCCATAAATAATAATGATAGTTTCAAAAATGATGATATATCATTAACTAAAAAAGATTCATCGATATTTCATCAGCAAATTAAACGAATAAAAAAAACACATAATTTTATAATTAATGATAATATCATAGAACAACCCAAGGACTATTTTCAAAAAAAATGGTTGTTAATTTTATTCATTGTTAATATTGTATTTGTATATTTTTATTTATCTAATATCTTTCAACAAATGATTTATTTCAATAATTTTCAATACGTACATTTTGTACGGAATCATTTCTTTTCACTATTGGAATTATTTATTACATTTATATGCCAAATATTTTTTCGGATTGATAAATATGAATATAAAAATAATATTGTTTATGTAACAAATTTTACTTATGAACATCTTTATGACTGGTTTTGATACTTTTATAAATAAACAATATAATATGTGAAGATCTTTGTTTGTTCTCGTTTTCGAAATGAAATAAAGAATAAATTAAATATCCAAAAAAGTAAAACATGTATTTGAATTAAGATTCTTCTTTAAAATTTACTAGATCAAAATGAAATATTCAAGGTATTCTAGTACGAGGAGTCTTTATGTTAAGTACATCAATATCACGAATAGAATATTGAATAGAAAAATCGTGATGGTATGTAAGATTGATGAATATATACATATTTCAAATAAAAACAAAGGCTTGTAAGTGCTTTTACATTCTCTTAGTCGAATTGTATACAAAAAAACGTTTTATATTATTAGCCAAAGTCAAAATGAGGGTGTAGATGTGGGTTTGAGTGCTGCCCAAGCAAAGAAAGTTTTGCAAAAACGCGTGAGAACGTGTAAATGCTCAGAAAGTTAATATGTTCTGAGTTTTATCTTTAAATTTAAATAACAGATTTTGCATTGTTAATAATCATCGTATAAATGCCCTGTGACTAAAATTTTGAATGTTTTTCTTTCATAAATTTGCTCCGTAACTGATGATAAAAACTTTACCGTGTAAATGACGAAATATGAAAATTAATACATGTTTTTTTTCATAAATTTATTCCGTAACTAATAATAAAAATTTTACCATGTAAACGATGAAATAAGAAGAATTATAAATGTTTTTACACATTAAATTATGCATATGCGCATTTAAGAAAAATATTGTCGTTTTACACTTACGATATAATGAGTTCTATTTAAAAAGACGCATCTGAACTTATCCAGTCATTGGTATTCGAGCATCGTAACAGGTAAGAGAAATTTGCATTATTTTATAGTTTTAAATGAGCAGTATGCTGCTTTGAACTCATATATTTTTTCAATCGTGTAAAGACGTAAAATACTCATTTTCTCCACGACTTCACGATGTAGCTTTGGGTCCATTTTCAAAATCCATTATTTATAAGTTCTTTAGGAATATTTTTTTATCTAGCAAAATGATGATATACATACTTCATATCAAATTCAAATCGCTTGTATTGATTAGTTCGTATAAAACATCATTCAATTGTTTTGTGATATAGAATGTCAATCTAGTACTCCTAGAGTGAAATGACATCTATTTGATTTGATAGGTATTTCGATTCTTAAAAATGAATTTTAAAATTTTCTGATAATTTATTTTCCTTCAGATATAATAGAACAATCTCTTGATTATAATATCAAGAGATAAAACTCAAATATTCATCATTTAATTTCTATCTTTCTCGAGATAAAATTGAGAAAGATAATTTTCCTAATGAATAATAACAAGAAAACTACATCTGACTCAGAACACAAAAAATATATTTAATAATCCAAAGAAAAAACATTTAATATCGATAAGAATGTCGAGGATAAAGTAAATCATGAAATAATTTTGAATCAATTGTAGCTAAAATAATTCATAAAAGAAAATAAAACTAACTATATGATTAATACGTGACATACGTGAAGTAGTTCTTTTTCTTTTCGTTGGTAATGAACTCATTGATTTTGGTTTACTTATACAGCCAAGAACTAAGAAAAATAAAATTTAATTTACAAAAATTTGAAAAAAAGTATTATTTACAATTTCGATCAGTTTTTGATAGATCAATATTCATTTCTAAATTCTGTTCATCTTCACTATTAGCTAAGCCAACTGGAACTTCCGCTAATATTGAACCTATAAACAAAATGTTTTTTTATCTCTAAAATCTTTATCTATTTAATCATACGTTTCTTAAACATCAATAATTCTTGTTTATATAATTCATTTCGTGGAAAAATTTCAATAGATGAACTTGCTGGTAATTCATCATTGTTAACATTTTCAAATGGATTAGCAAACATAGAGATAGTTCGCAAAAGCATATCACGTTTTTGTTCACTAATTAATGTTTGTCGAGTACCATTATTATTATCGGCCATACGAACAACCATTTGAGAAAGTGATTCAGCAAACCATGGTTGAAGTATACGTACTAATCGAATAAATATTGAACTAAGATCAAGTTTAATTGTTGGTTGTTCAATTAAATAAAATATCCAACCAATTCTTTGTTGATCAATAATAGAATAATCATTCGATGTTAATTGATAATAATCACTAATAAAATTTAAGATTTTATCAGTTATTAATGAAATAAGACTAGTATCTTGAATAATTAATTGAATAATAGGCTTCCAAAATTGTATGACACATTTTGGAAGAAGATCAGATGATTCTACGAAAAATAAATACAACTTTTTAGTCATTGTTTTTGTCTTCAATTTATTTACCTGCATCATATCCAAGACGTGTTAATTGTTTCGGTGTCATTATAAAGTTTCCACATTGTACAAAAACTTCTGCCATCATTTCTCTAGAAAGAAAATTTTTTCTTAAATGAATATCTTTATTTTAAAATATGTATTCCATACTTTCCATTACACATTTGTAATGCTTTACGTATTTCTTCAATACGTTCATCAGCTATTCGTAATCGTTTTTTACTTCGTTTCATTAGAAACTAAATAAGATAGGATTTCGTTACTGTTATAATCTGATTAGTTAAAATAATAAAAACAAACATTAAGACGAGCTTCTACATAAGCTTGTACAGTTTCTTGAGCAATTATGTCAAGTAATTCACTATATGAACCTTGACTAAAAAGTGCCATTGTTTCAATTAATTCATCAAGACAATTTTTCTATTAAAAAAAAAGGATAACTAAGACTATTATTAAAATCATTATTTATTTACGCGAAGCCATTGTTTACTAAAATCTACCGCTGCAAGTAAATCATGTAATGATGGTAATTCATGATGATGTGCAATATCATGACGTAAACTAATTATATTACCGGGTAAATCCACCTATATAAAATATAATTAAAAAAGTCATAAATAAAGATTTCGAAAGTTACTTGTTTAGCAATATTTCGATATGAAAGACGAGAATGATGAACACGATAAGGTACACTAACAGCATCGACGAATCTTTAGAGATATACAAATTAAGAATTGTTTTTTGTATGTTTAATTGATATAAACTTACTTTAAAACAGCTACTGCACAAGCATATTGTAGAGCACTATTTTCGTCCATTTTATTCTGTTCTTGTTGTTCTGCTCGAATTATTTCAACTTTAAGAATATGTTTCAATGAACCAAGACCCATTGGCAATTGACTGATTCTATAATAAAAAACAAAACAATATTTTAATTAATATTTCATATAAAATCAACTATACCTTGCTTCTAATTCATTAATTTTATTAATTGCTTCTCGTTTATCTTCAATAGTATCTGAATAAGCAAGATCAATTAATTTTTGTACTTCTTGACTAAAATATTCAATTAATAATTTTGAAATAAATCATGAAAAAAAAAGAATTTCTTACTCATTTTGAAATGGAGTAACAGTTAATGTTATAGTTGCCATCTATAATAATAATATAGACTTCGTATATACAAGAAAAAATTTGCTATTTTGTTTTGCAATGATGGAGAGAGAAAAAAAACGAAAAGAAAAGAAAAGAAAAAAACGAAGTCCGAAACAAATCATTAGTGACTATCACAGAAACATCCAAACATAGAAGACATATATAGTAGTGTCTCAGAATGATAGTTAAATACGATTAGATTGTTGAGATTCTTAGTAATTGATCAATTAGCTGATAGTCGGTACTTCATTCAGAAGAATATTTGAAAGTTGTACGGAACTATTTGTGTCCAAAGTATATTGTCGACGATAATTTCCAATTATATTTCGTGTCTTGAAATAAATAAAGTTAATTCATTAAGAGAAAAAAAGATTATACTTACAGTATTGGCAAAGAATGATGCTTCTGTTGCTTTCTCTGAATAACTATCATATTGATCGAGATCATCATGTAATTTAAGTGCTAAAGTATCATAGTTATTTCGAATAATATCCAATACCTTTGGGAAACAAAATTAGAATAAAGAATTATCTAAATGAATTTTTCTACTTGATTTTCTGTTAGTGGATTATTTTGACTATTTGAAAAAGCTTCAATTTTTGTATTAAAATGATGTGTGATAAGTCTTAAGAGAGAAAAAGATAAATTTATTGAAAAAAAACAAATTTCGTTCTTCGTTTACTTAATATTTGTTAAATTAACCATTAATTTAAGCGCTGATTCTTTATATTCATTATCATTATTTGCATATCGACAAGCTAAATATATATTCAGCATATAAAAAAAACCGAAATCTTTAAAATAATTTACCAAATGCAAATAAATTATCAAATATATGATAACATCGAACTGTTTCATAAAAAACTTCATCATATGCTTCCGGTGTTCTTAAGAATGTATCACCAAATGTAATAAATAAATTAAATATATTAATAATTTTTGATGCTAATTGAAATAAATCTCTATGTTTTGTTAACTGTGATTCACAATTTTGAAGAAATTTTAAAAGAGTAATCAAAGCTAAATTAAAAAAGTAATTCAATAAAGAAATTAAAAAGAAATCTTATTTACCATTCCATAATGGTCTCCATGGATAAGATAATCTTGTTCGCGTGCGTTTTTGGAATGAAAGTATACGTTGAATAATACCAATACATTTTCTATTCAAATAAAACATATATATTTCATTTGAATTAGAACCCACGAAAAAATATTTACGTATATAAATCGTATGGAAAATTACGCATCATATGACTCCAAATAAATTCCATCGTTAAATCCAAAAGTGCAACAGCTAATGGTCGTGATGGAGGATTTTTTTCACTATTACGTTTACGATGACGCATTGGCTAAAAGAATTATTTATAAGATTTAGTATAAGACTAAACAATTTTAATCATACAGCTTTATGGAGATAAACACTAAATATAACATTTTCATCATGCATTGTAGCATTTGCAAATTCATCTTCTGTTATACAAAGAAGAATTAGATAACACAATTTTGTTGTATTACACATATCTTCATCTAAATTTACAATTGTTTCTTTTTTGAAGGAAAATAAAATAAAATTGTTTTACTTTTGGAAAATTGTTGAATTATTGAACAATATTCAAGGAATATAGAAAGTAAATTATTTGAACCAGAAAAATCTTCCATGTCCGATAAATCCATTTGATCTTGAACTGAATATAAATAATTAATTAAATAGAATTTATCATTAATTTACTTACCAACATGTCCAGATGGCGCAGACATAGCTGGTAATGATGGTGGTAATGAATCATTATTTGATAAAGATAATCCTTTTGTATTCCAAGAATTAGTTGCTGTCTAGAAAACATAGAAACTTTCATTTATTATATACATATAGGTTTTCTCGGCACTATTTACATGTGTAAGTGCGGAAATAAAATTTCGATTTAAATGAACAGCTTCATAAAATGCAAGTAAAAGACAATCATCCACTCTTTAAAAAAAAACAATAATAGAATAATATATATGTGTTTATGATTTACTTTTTCATTCGACGATTTCCAGTTCCAGATTGAATTGCAGAACCCACCTGAAAATATATAATTAAATAAAATATTTTTCCTTACAAATAAAACTTACAAATGTTGTTAACGAACTCCACCATGATGATGATTCATTTGCTGTTCGTTCAATATCATAAGCTCTAAAAATTCAATTTTTTTCTCTATATATAAAATAAAACAATTTATTTATTACTTATTATATTCATTGAGAGATGATCCAATGATTTGTGCTAAACTCTAGAAAAACAAAAAATTCTATTAAAAGAAAATGTCACTCAAATTTGAATCTATTTACAGTTAAAGCAACTTCATCATCGAATACAGAAAATCGAACAATATATGTATTGGATGTCTATAATATAGAGAAATAGTTGAATATTTTTAATTAATAAAGAAAATATATACGTCATATTTATGATATTGTAAAAGAAGTGCAAGTAGAAGACAAATATCATAACCATGACTTGCTGGAGAACGAATAACTAATTGCATTATTGAATCAAAAAGATTTGCATTTGCCATCATATAATCCATAAGCATATTTTCATTGATATTTAACATTGTTGTACAACATGTTAAAACAACATCAAATGCAGTATTTTTTAATAAAGTACTTCCAGAAAAACTTTCATCAATAAGAAATGTATGATTGACTGATTCAATTAAAGTCTAAGAGAAAAAAAATAATCGATTAAAATAAATAAATAAATAGACATACTTCAAATTTATTCTCAGCTCCTTCAGTTCCACAAAGAAAATCTAATGCTGGATAACCAAAACCATTTCTTTGATTAACTCGACTTATTACATGTATAAGAATACAAATTGTCTAAAGAGAAAAAAACTAATGTTTTGGTAATTTAAGAAAATCTTCTATACATAATAAGCATTCAATTGTCGAATACGATGTGTTGAATTAACAAAAAGCAAACATTGATCAAACATAATATTTAATTGTGGCTAGAAAATAAATCTTTAACTTTTCAAAATAAAGAAAAACAAAAAAAATTTCATACTTTAAGTATACTAGGTTTTTCAATATAAGTTCGTTCAAGTTCTTCTAATAAATATTTTGAATTAACTTTTAAAAGAAAGAAATCATCCCAATAATGACCATTTTCAAGCCATGGTTGATCACCCTTAATATATTAATATTCTATATTATTTTAAAATATATAAAAATAATTATGAAACATACAGTTAACAAAGCATCGTAGAGTACAACAATTTTTTCTTTTAAAGCTGTTTTAACCGGCCAAAATGATTTATTACTATTATTAGTATCCGCTGACATTTTATTCCAAATAAAGATTTTTCTATTCAATCTTGTTAGATTTAGAACCGAAGAAATAGATATTTAAAACATATTTAATAGTAACGTATTCAGCAATGTAGACACAAAAAATGATTTGTTAAGAATTCAATCAAATAACGTGTTTATGATAGATGTCAATAGTTATATAGAAAATCAATTCTTTGATATCATTTTCTTCATTATTTATAGAATTTTTCTCAGATTTTTATTTTAATTAAATCTAAGAAATTAACAGGTGTCACTATATGACAAGATTTTGTCTAGAACCAATTCACCGTATTTCTTTACAGATTTAAAAAGGTATAGTTCAGTATATAAAGATATTCTTGTATATATATAAATTGCTCGGTTGAGTTTGGCTGGTGCCGGGGCTAGGCTTCAAACCTAGGGACGCTTCGCGGCGTAGCAGTTCGATTCTGCCTACCGAGCGGTTAATGGATCAAAAACACCGTTTTTTTTTTCTTTTATAGTTTTTTCATTAAAATTATCATTATCACTTCTATTCTTTGTCTAAAACATGTAACTACGCAAATATTAATAATTATCTAGATGCACATTGTTTTCTTCTTCAGAACATATATATTTCACTGAATATAATCACATAGTATTTCATATATATAGTATATAATGCTTCTTTCCCGTTGGTAGGTTTGCTATCCAATATGATAACTTTTTTTTTTGTTTGTTTATTATTCCTATTTTTCATTTCTTTTTCATATACACGTTTCTATTTTGTTCGGTTTTTTCTTCTTTTCTTCTATTTAATTTACTTTGCTTTGCACTGAAGACAGTAAAAAATTGTATTTCTGTTCGATATTCTTCATGGTTATAAAGCAAAATAGCGAAAATATACATTTCTTATCAGACGGATCTATATTGTGATATTTTACATGTGTTTTTTTACTGACTATCGACATTCTTTCGTCATTTATCATCACATTATTCGAGTTTTCGATTATCATTACTGTTAGTGCTTCTCAGGTAAACATAACTACACAAAAACAGTTGATAGATAAGTATATTTGATAGTATGAAAACTTATCTGATGCTTTTGTTTTATTGATATACTTTCAAGTAGAGACAAATCCTTACAAAAAGAAACTTTTTTATTGAAACAATAAAAAAAAGAGAAATTATAACCTTATCCTTAACATGTAGGTGAAAGAAAAAACAATATATTTTCATCTATAATGGATTATGAAAAGGTTAAAAACATGTCTACCCATTCATCATATTACCTGAGCAAATCTAGATGACGACTGAGAAGCCAGCTAAAAAGAGCGTATCGTTTTCTACGACTAATTATCAATATACTACAAATTCACATGAACTTAATGAAGTATTGATTTTTATTTCTATTCTATGAAAAATATTTTTCTATTTTTCAGATTGCAACTTCTGATTCGATGCGTCAGACAAATGGCATTCGTTCATATCAAATAGTTAATGATGGAACAGATGATCAATTTGTATGTTTTAAGTATAGCTTTTATTATCTTTATATTTATTTCTATTAGATTCTATATGGATATTCTCGATCGGTAACACGAACAGTTGTAACATGGATATTTATTGTTTTAACTGTGGGATTTTTACGTCTCGTATTCTATTGGAAACCTCATTGGTTTCTTCGATGTTGTTGCACTCGAGCTGATTTAGCAGTTGCTCAATATGTACTACTCAAAGTAATAAAAACAAAAAATATTTTTTCTCTCTTTTATTTATAAAATCATTTAGGATCGATATAAGCAATGGTATGTAGAAAAAGTACTCAAAATTGATCCTAATCAAAATCCAAATGATCCAAATGATCCTCGGTATTTATAGTCTTTTTCATTTATTATCATCTCTTTTGACATATCCTTTTCTTTCAAGAAATTTTATTCCGACGAATCATTCACGATATGATAATTTTTCTGAAACGCAAGAAGCTGATAACGTAAGTAAAGAGATGAAATAACACATAACTATTTTGTTAAAACAAAAAAACCGCAATTTTTTTAAATACAAAAAAGAATAGAATATGAAAAATAATAGAGAATATTTAGTCTACAGGTGAACCTTTTCTCATGAGCAGCGCTGATACGCTGCGAACGAAGAAAAATCGACAACGACGGGTAGGTACACGTGTTTTGCTTTTTATGGTGACTTGGTGTTTTGTGTATAAATGTTCGTCATTAATGCATGATTAAACTATCGTCTTGCACGATATTTTTCTTTATGTTAAGTTTTTCCTTTGGAGATGGACCTATCATCATCGTCATTGTCAAGATATGATTTTATATGAATTTGAAAACGTAATTTTTATATTAAATATGCCTATAGTCTGACGTATACTAAACATTCACCTATATATTTAATAACCTAAATATTTGTAATCACATTAATACTTTATTTATCCTCTTGTCCCTTCGAATGACCTTAATCTTGATATGTGCTTTATGTAAATAACATTTTTAGACAATTCATGTTTGTTGATGCACGACATAGCTCTTATTAAATAGGAAGACATAAGTATTTCAATCAATATTGATGCATTAAAAAGACTTTGATCAAACTATAGAATTATCAATTATTCGATAACTTGATATTACGATGGTGATAGTAATTAAAAATAGAATGACCAATTTAACAATCAATAATTCTTTCTTTATAACAGTTTTTGTTAATTATGGAATATTTTATATAATTTTAGAGAAACGTTCATCGATATTTTATTAATAAACGATGGCGTTATGTTTGGCAAGAAGCTGAATATAAATTTACTAAATTACTGTAAGTTAAACAGAAATAAATAAATCAATAAAACTATTTTTTTTATACAGAGGTGTTGAAAATAATGTGAAATGTGATTATTTCTGTCAGATTCGTCCATTAACAGTCGAAGAACGTGCACAAAAGTAATTTTTTATAATTTATTCACACTATTAATTTATATTGAAATTATTCTTAAATAGAAAAATAATTTATGGTGAGAATAGCATTGGTCTTCGTCTTACTCCTATATTACGTCTACTCATACAAGAAGTAAAATATTATATATATTTAATAAATTATTTACAAATTTTTCTTATTTCAAAAAAAGGTTGTGTCACCATTCTATATTTTTCAATTATTTTCTTGTATTTCATGGTTTGCTGATGAATATGTTACTTACGCATCGTGTATTGTTTTTATTACTGTTATTTCGGTTATATTAACTTTGCGTGAAGTTCGAAAGGTACTATGACAAAAAAACTACTTTTTTATTCTTACAAAAATATGTATTCTCTTATAGAATGAACGAGCTCTACGTGATACAGTTCATCAGTCTGAAGTAAATACTGTTGTTATATTTAATCCCGAAACAAATGAAGGTATAGTATTATATTAATTCTTTCTATTGTAAATATTATTTTGTTTGTTTTTCAGAAGAACAACGTGATATAATTAGTGAAGATCTTGTTCCAGGTGATGTTATTATAATTCGTGGATCATCAACTATGCAATGTGATGCTGTTCTATTAAATGGTAATGTTATTGTAAATGAATCAATGTTAACAGGTGAAAGTATACCTGTAACAAAAGTACAAATTCCATATTATCAAGCATCATCTGATCATCCTGCACTTAATCAACCATTTGATGTTCATGAACATAATCGATTTATATTATTTAGTGGTACATCTGTTATACAAACACGTTATTATGGTGCAGGTGATGTAAGAGGTGTAGTTATTCGAACAGGTATGTCGATTTCAAATATATAACAAATTTCAAATTTTATTATTGAATTTTTTGTAGCATTTAGTACAGCTAAAGGTGAACTTGTACGATCAATTCTTTATCCAAAACCGGTTGATTTTAAATTTAATACGGATACATATAAATATGTAGGTGGAATGGCATTAATTGCTCTATGTGGAATGATCTATTCAATGATATTACGAGTAAAACATTTTATTATTTATTTAAATTTTATTTATTTTAAAAACAAAAATTTAGATAATACGTAAAGAAACAGCTGGTGTAATTATTAAACGTACTATTGATGTCATTACAATTGCTGTACCACCTGCTCTTCCTGCTGCTCTATCAGCTGGTCTTGTCTATGCTCAAAATCGTCTGAAAACGAGAAATATTTTTTGTATTAGTCCTCGTTCGATTAATATATGTGGTTCAATTAATACTGTAGTATTTGACAAAGTTAGTTATTCAATTTTAAATACAAAATTATTTCTTTATTAAAAAATATCTATATATTTATTAGACAGGTACATTAACTGAAGATGGACTTGATCTTCAATGTGTATTACCTATTGTTCATACGTATAATGCAATAAATGATAATCAACAAATTGAATTTGGTTCTCAAACAACGGAAGTTACAGATTTGAATTGGCGAGATGAAGAAGCTCATAGTATGATTATTGTTTGTATGGCAGGTAAGAAAATATAAAGTTCGAATAAATAGAATCTATTGACAATTAAATTTGTTAGCATGTCATACATTAACAAGAATCAATGGTGAACTTGCTGGTGATCCACTTGATCTAAAAATGCTTGCATTTACTCAATATGAATTATATGAACCCGCTGAAAATGAACAAGCAAATTTTGATATGCTTTTTCCAACAATTGTACGACCAATAAATCCACCAACAAATGTATCACCACCATCGAATCGTCTTTCAGGTTCGGTTAGCTCACTTATTGCTGGAGTAAGTAAAAATCAAAGAAAAAAATAAGCATTTTCTATATATTTTTCTTTTATATATAGAATATTCCATTTGAAATTGGTATTGTTCGACAATTACCATTTAGTTCATCACTTCAACGAACAAGTGTTATTGTTCGAATACTTGCGAAAGATTCTTTTGATCTATTAACAAAAGGTTCACCAGAAAAAATTGCTGAACTTTCAAGACCTGAAACTAGTAAGAATTTTTTTAAAATATTAAATCGAATTTTCATGTATAATATATATTTAAATAGTTCCAAAAAATTTCAATGAAATACTTTCATCATATGCTACACAAGGTTTTCGAGTATTGGCACTTGCTTATAAACCATTAGAATTAAATTATGTTAAAATTCAAAGAATTGAACGGTTAGTTAACAAATAAAATACTGTATATATCTAATAATATAATCGATAATAAATAGAGAAAAAATTGAATTCAATCTTATCTTTCTTGGTCTTGTGGTTATGGAAAATCGTCTTAAACCACAAACTGAAGGTGACTAAAATATAAAATTATTCTTTTTGTTTTTACAGAACCTTAATAATTAATTTAGGAGTGTTAAAAATTCTTTCAAATGCTAATATTCGAACAATAATGTGTACCGGTATGTTTATTATCATTTTCATTAGTAAAAATTCTATATTATTAATACAGGTGACAATATGTTAACTGCATTAAGTGTTGCTCGTGATTGTGATATGATACCTGATGATGCTAAAATAATTGCTATTGAAGCAACTGAACAAAATCCTACACCAATATTTACTTATGCTCAAGTTTATAATCGAAGAGTGAAAGAAGTTCGCTATGATCTAAATGTATGTATGTACAATTATTTTGCTAAGTATCAACATAGATAGATAGTTTATGATCTTACTATTTTTCTTTCATTACAATTCATTTGAGAATAAACAAAATATAAATATTTTTAATAGATATATTATGACAATTTATTTTTTCTTTATAAATAGACATATCCGATTTAATCTAGTTGATAAGAGAAAAATAATCTGTTTACTAACAGGCGGTGATTAACTGTTTTTATATGTCAACGGGGATGTATTTTGTAATTAAAATAATAATAATAAATATCCTTTAGAATTGAAAACAATTCATTCTTTAGATTTATAGGATAGAAATCATTTGATACATACGAAGAAATAGTATCGTATCAGATATTCTTTCTCGATTTAGGATCATTTTACGGATGTTAGTACGGAAAAATTCATATGACGAAAACATCTAAAAATATGACCTTTTATTTGTTTGTAAGAAATTAAAAATCAGTAAAAATAACTATAAGTCAAAAAAAAAAAGAAGTTTAATGAGATAAATTCTTTATGTATATATTCGATATATCTGGTTTTTAATATAAAAAAAAAATCTTAATTTTTTTTCTTCTTAGTCTCAACGATTAATTGAACTTGATCGTCGTACACCATATCATTTTGCTATATCCGGTAAATCATTTCAAGTTGTTCGTGATAAACATCCAGAATTATTACGTCGAGTAAAACTTTGTCCAAAAACGATTTTTAAAATTTTTAATTTATATTTTCTTGTAGTTATGTGTACGTGGTACAGTTTTTGCAAGAATGTTACCAGAACAAAAACAACAATTAATTGAAACTCTTCAAGAACTTGGGTAAGTTAAAGAAAAGATAGAAGTTTTTTTTGTCTCGTCATCGTCCTTTAATGTAATTATCGAAATGAATCCGATACACATCGATTAATATAAACAGTTCCATCATTATCGCTAATCGGTATTGGATGATTTAATTGTATTGGTGTTGATGTTCCTGAATGTTCATGATTTGGACTTCGTCTATAGGATAATTGATGATGAAATTGATGAGGAACAGCACCTTTTGGATGTGATAATTTTGTTGAAAATTGTCTTGGAAATAATGAATCACTCGGTCGACAACAAAGTATATTTGTAAATGCACGTCGAAAAACATCACTAAATATTGTATAAATAAATGGATTAGCCATTGATGAACTATAACCAAGCCATGTTATTGAAAACCATATAGTTGATGATATACGTTCACGACAGTCGTCACATATAGCTGATATAAATGTACATATAAAAAATGGTGTCCATAATGTAACAAATACACAAAATATAATCATTAAAACTCGTAGAGCTTTTCGTTCATTTGCTGCAACAATATGCTCATCATTTAAACGTTGTGATGGTGATTGTTGAGAATGTGTTGATGAAGAAAAAACTCTTGGATTAAATCGATGAAAAACAGATGATGAATCAGATGAATTTGTATTTGTATTTGTTGTTGATGTTACTGTATATTGTTGTTGACGAAAACTATGTGGATGTGGATTTGTTATAAAATAGGATGAACGAGATTGATGTGGTTGACGACGTCGTAATGGTCTATGCCAATGTGATGATATTTGACTACCTTGACGATATGTTGTATGTAAATGTGCTGTTGATGATGATGAGGATGATGCACGAGGACGATGTTCATTAGCTAAAACATGATCCATTTCCGATTCAATTTGACGAAAAACAGTAGATGAATGATAATGTGCTGGACGTTGTTGACGTAATGGACATGATGAAGAGGCTGCTGATGAATGTGGATTCAATGATGTTGATGATTTATTTGAATTTTGACGTGAATGTAAAATTGTTCGTGGTGAATGACGAAAAAAATTTGTAAATAATGATGATGTTGTTAATACTGGAAATTTTCGTCGTTTTACTGGTGAATATGAATATATTTCATTTGTATTCGTTAAATGTATATTAGTTAAATCTAATGGTGGAACAGAATTTGTTTGTGTTGAAACTGTTCGAGAAATTTTCATTGATGATATTGATGTTGATTGATTTAGATAAACCGGTTTCGAATTACATTGATCTGTATTTAATGATGATTTTATCGATAAAGGATATGATCGATATGGAAAAATAAAAATATAATATTGAAGAATATATTGTATTAGAGGAAAATAAAATTGTATTGAATTTTCAAGAGAAATTGATTCACTATGTGAAGGTGGTATAGAAGAATGAATCGATGTTGAAGGAACTATTTGCATATAAGTTGATTCATGTCCTTCAGCTAAAAATAAAATATTGTAATTCTTCTTATTTTTTTGTATAATTTCTTAATTGATTACAAAAATCTTATGATAATTATTTTGATTTATGTTACTAATTCGTTATGAATAGGGATGCAAAAATAAAAATGATAACAAAACAGAAAATGATTTATCTTAATTAACCGAAAAACATATCTTTATGATAAATGTATCGGTTATAATTTATGTAGATATTGTTAATGAAAGTTTTTTCTCATTAGTTTTTGATAAATAATTCCAAAGAGAATTAATAAAATGACGTTTCTTTGTTGTTTTTTCAAGCGTTATATTAAATATGAAAACTCAGTTCCTTTTTTTTTTTTGATTGATGCTATTTAAAAAACAAAAAACAAAAAACTTACTTCCACTATCAATATCTGTCATCGAACTCGCATCTTCTTCTTTCACCGGTGATATACTATTGATAGTTGATGTTGTTATTGGAGAAGTTTGTTGTTGTTTTTGTTCTTGCTCTATATTATCTATCCTATTTGATGATTGGTGTTGTTCTTCGATAGTTACAATTGACCTTCGATGTGTACTATTATTAGTGATTAATGTAGATTCATAGGAATCTGACGTTGATTTTGAATATTCACTTATTTCATAAACTGTACTCATATCACAATCATTTTTCGTACGATTTAATCCTGTATTCATTGTTAATGTTTGTTGTTGATGAGCACGTCGTTTTTTACTTCCACTTGATTTAATATAACTTATAGTTAAATGTTGATTATTATGATGAATATGTTCATTGTTCATATTTGTTCCACTTGATAATTTTATTGAACCATATTGAATATTATTAGAATCTTGTATTAAATTCATATCAGAATTATTTGATGGATGAAATTGTGTAGGCGATGTTGTTGTTGATGTTATTATTGTATATGGTGTTTTATTTAAAACTGAATTTGTATTATTATTTGAAACTAAATTTACTGTTTGATTATGTGCTGTTGATGAACGTCGAATATTTTGAGCTATTTCTGCATATTGATTAATGATTTGTGCTAATGGTCGAAATGTTTGTTTTAAACGTCTTTCACGATTATATTTTCTTTTATTAACTAAAACATTTCGTAATGAACGCATTGTTAATGCATATGTAGTGATCATAATTATAAATGGAATATAAAAAGCAAAAATTGATCCATATAATTTAAATGACTCATTATTTGGTGCACATACACCATTTGATAAAACATTTTGTTTATCAACAATTCCTAAAACAAATACTGGAGATGAAACAGCAGTACTTATTGCCCATACAGCAACTATTTTAAGTAACATAATACGACGAGTTTTATTTCTACCATAACGAAATGGAAAACGAATTGTAAAATATCGATCCATCGACATCGTACTCATATGCCATATCGATGATGTACAACATAATACATCCATTGTAGCAAATATAATACATGCATAATGTGGCAATGGAAAATGTCCTAGATAATAATAACAAGAAATAAAAATTGTTTTTTTCCATTATTCTTCTTTTGAAAACAAAAAGTTCACCTATGATTTCAGCAATCATTCCCATGGGCATGACAAGTATAGCAACAAGACAATCAGCAATAGCTAATGACATAAGAAAATAATTAGTTGTATTTTGTAATTTTCGTTCTCGTGCTATTGCCAAACAAACTAGAACGTTACCGGCAGCAGTCACAAATATGACTAAAATATACACAAAAAAATGAATTCCACGTGTTAATGACATAATTTTTTCTCATTAATATCATGTTTTAGTACATATATTTCTGTATTTTTGGTAAAGTATCCTTGAGATAGAATCACATCAATCTGTGGTTTGTTAACTCAATTAAGCGAACATGTAAACATCGTCTTTCCGGAAGAATATTTTTTCTGTGTCTCTTTCATATTAAATGAAAATATAAGACACACACAAAAAAAAGATAACATCAACAACCTATACTTACTAATAATTAATAGAAAACGATACCACATTGTTCGAATCGAAGCTTGATACACATCAATATTTGATGGTGTTGAATTTTGTTCGTTAACAATCCAAATAGCAGTTGTTGAAGAATTTGATGTTCCCTTAATATGAAATGCAAACAAACTAAATATATGATAAGTGAATACTTGAAAAGAAGAAAAAAAAGAAGAAATCGATGAATGATAGATAAGTTGTAATATTCTGATTGATGCTCTCTTTCGTTTATAAAAGAGCTAATAAGAAAAGAATTTTTTTTTTGTGCTTTTGAGAAAATTACAATAAAAAGGCAAGTTTATGGTTTATAACTGATCGACCATTGATTGAAGACCTCGACTATAACATCTCTTCTTCTTCTTCTCCTCTTATTTTTCTTCTTCTTCATTTTGACTACTCATAATAATAGAGACATAGAACTTCTCTTTCTCTCTCTCTCTTTTTTTTCTCCTCCATCGCTTTTCGCTTATTCTGTTCGCTCGTTCGTTCTTTAGATAGTCGAGACACTCTTTTCCATTACACTTTAGATATTTTCATCCTATTATTATTAATATAACGTCAAACAAATTTTCTAGATTTCTTTTTTTTCTTCTCTATTACATTGATATATAACAAAGAAGTTCTGTTTTCATTGGTGTTTCTTTAACTCTTTGATTGAGTATACATGTATTTTTAATAAATAATATATAGCAGATGTCAAGTAATTAGTTAAAAAAAAACTCTTCATATTTATGATACAGAAAAAAATCTCTAGAGAGCTTTAAAAGCTCAACTCATTTTGTCTAGTTATAGGTGTTTTTATTAGAACAAAATCTAGGCAGTTAAATAATCTTTATGTTTGTAATAGAAAAGACACTTCTAATGTCAACATAGATTTCCAGTTACTCTATGAAACTTGAAAGCATGCGTAATTAGCAAATGCTTTTTTTTACAACAAAAGCAATATACATATTAAAAAATTAGTTGATTTCCGAATCACATTTGTCGTTAGTTCATTATCATTATGAACTTAATGACAAATAATTGAAACGAAAAGAAATACTTACAAGAACAAAATAATGTATGATTGATGATGAGTTTATAATATTCAACATTGATTTTACATATAAATAATTCAATCTAAATGGATACAATAACAATATTTTATTCGACCTTTTTTTTTCTTTCAAAAAGAAAATAAGTTTTTTTTTCTTTCTCAATCAAACTACTTATAGAATCGTTGAAGACAATACTATTTTAAACAAGAGAACAAATTTATTACTCTATTCTTACCTGACAATATAATAAATGATTGAAATGCGTGTCTTTATCAAAAAATAAAAAGACAAAAGTTGACCTTTTTTTTTGTTTGTTACATCTCTAGTTTATTTTCAAGCAATGATATTAGTATTTTTTTATAAATGAGAGACAAGGATAAATTCAATTATTCTTCATAATTCATTTCTTTTCTTTTTCTCACTTGTTCTTTTTTCTCTTCTACCTAATTAAAAAGCACCATCATATATAGATATTTTCCTGGATACTAAAAAGAACTCAATCATAATTGAAAAGAAGAGAAAAAAAATTTCAATACAAAGCTAGGTGTAACATGCAAGTCTCAATATCTAAATATATGCCATATAGTTTTTTATGGATGAAAGAAAGAATGTCTATAATTTTTCTTAAGAACAAACGACAGGCTAAAAAAAAATGATAAATGTATATATTCCTACAACTTAATGAATGACTGAAAATTCGAATAGACGATAAAACAAAAAAAAGACCTAGATATAGAAAATTTAATGTTGTTTTCGCTTGACATATCTTCGAAAACATATTATATATAGTATGTTTATCTATGTCAACTTTTTGTTCTTCATATTAATAAAATCCTTGTTGAATAGACTTTTCTTTCTCTTTAAATGTAAATAATAAAGATGTTTTTGAGTATTTTATTCAAAGTAATATAGTTAATTTTTTATTGTGTTTATCCCATGAGAAAAAAAGAAAAGTAATGCACCTAGATAAACAGATATTAGTCTTTTATAACAAAAAAATAACTGATAATATTCTAAATAGACATATAAATGAAGAAGATCGGAATGTTCTTTTCATGTGAAGATGTTGATTTATTTGCTTTTCGTCAATGATAATTATTAGTAAATATATTTCTAATTGATGTATTTTCACTGAGAGCATATATATTTTGTAGATTGTCTTGGATTGGGCTGGTCTATTTCTATTTTATTTTCTTCTTTTGTATGTCAATATGAATAGAAAAGAAACTTCCGTTCCTAGCCATTAAATCAAACTCACTGCACTATCAATCATCTATAAACAAATCTATAGATTCTTTTCAGTTGGATTTCTCTCGATCGGCTATTCTGACACGATTGATTAGTAATGACAGATGACATTTTTTTTAAACAAAAATAACAATAGAAAGATACTTTGTCATATGATTGATTTCATCATCATATTATCATATTTTCTAGTTACTATGTTTCTATGTGTGGAGATGGTGCTAATGATGTTGGAGCATTAAAAGCAGCTCATGCTGGAATATCGTTATCAACAGCTGATGCATCAGTAGCTAGCCCATTTACATCAAGAACTCCAACAATTGAATGTGTACCGACTATTATTCGGTAAGTAATTACGAGACCTATAATACAAACAAAGTTGTTCTAAAATAATTCATTTGTTTGCTTCTATCTTTTTAGAGAAGGACGTGCAGGTAAAAATTTATTTCGATTTTTCTTAAATTAAATAATAATTCTATTTTTCCTAGCCTTGGTTACTTCATTTGGTGTTGTTAAATATATGGTAGCTTATAGTTTAACACAATTTTTGACAGTTATTATGCTATATACGGTAGATTTTCTTTAGAAAAAATGAATAGAACTAATATATATATTCTTATTTTTCTATAAGATTGGAAATAATTTAACTGATTATGAATTTCTTTTCATTGATTTGGGTCTTATTACATTACTTGTGTTACTCTGTAAATTAGAATAAAATTAAATTAAAAAAAAAACTAATTTATTTTTTTCTTGTATTTAGTCAGTCGAACATCTTCGTATCCATATTTAGATCCAAAACCACCTAGAACAAAACTCATATCTTGGTAATAAATCCTCATCACTCCTATTTCAGATTTATTTTTTCTCTTCTTAGGCGACCACTTGTATCACTAGTTGGTCATTTAGGTATTTGTTTTGCTTTCCAAGCATTTATATTTGAATATGTTAAAAGACAACCATGGTAAATCATCCTACAAAAGAATATCATTAAAATATATTTTGTTTTTGTTTAGGTATGAACCATTTGAATTCAATACAGAAAAAGTTTATATATCACATATAAATACAGTTGTATTTCTTCAATCAATGTTTCAATATATTTGGGAATCAATTGTATTTTCACGTGGTGCTCCTTATCGTCGATCAATATTTTCTAATTGTATATTTTTCCATACAATGAAAATAATTTTATTAATTTGAATTTGCTTTCAAGGGCTTTTTCTCATATCAATTGTATTCACATTTGGATTCAGTCTTGTTCTTCTTTTTCTACCAGTGAAATCAATTTACGATTTTTTTCAGGTTCGTATTAAAATTTTTTTGTTTATTTTAGAAATTTATACCTATACAGAATATCCATTAGCCTATTCTATTTCAGTTAGTCTTATAATAACACTAGAAACAGCTGATTTTTATTGTAATTAAACTATTATTCGAAAGTAAAAAAAGAATATATTAAGGGCATCTTATGTTACTAATGAATAATAAATGATATATCAAGCACAGAAGGCGACCATGAATATTTTTACAGATGTCGGTATTTTTCAAGATGATATATGACTATTATTTTTTTTCGACTATTAGAAAATTAAATTAGAATTCTAAGATTATTTAATTATTTATTTTTATATTTTCTAGCTTCGTATTATCCCAGATATTAAATTTAAACTAATAATTCTTGCTCTTGCACTATTAAATTTTGTGCTTATGTTCATGTTTGAAGTATGTCTTTATTAATTGAATAATATCGAAAGATAATATGCTCTTTTCTTTTCTTTTCTATACAAAAAAAAAAGGAATATATAATTGAAAATGATTATATTAGTTTTAAACGAGCACCATTATCTTCAACATCACGAAATGAACGAGCTCAAACAGGAACACATCATTTACATATTGAAAATATTCTTCGACTAACACCTGATTGGCCACCTATACTTGCCACACCTTCTGAAGAAGAGAAACAACAACAACAACAACAATCTCCTGAACATGTATTGGTCAATGAAAACAAGAGAAACAATCAAATAACAACAAATGAATAATTTTCAAACATATTCATTAGAGAATATTAAATTCTGTTAAATTTTCTGTGTCTTTATTATTTCTAAAATTATATATTGTATTTTGTTATGATATAAAACAAAACAAAAAAAATAGACAATCTTTATTTCCATTTTGTACTACTAATAATTCACTTGTTTCTTTAAGCACGAAATAAAAAAAAATAAAATATCTTTCTTTTTGTTTACAGAACTTTTCATTTTTTTGTATATATGAATGTATCGATCGAATAGTAATGGAAGTCAAGTATTACGACGTTTTGTTCAACAAGCTGAATCATATAATCGTTGTATGTTTCCAAAAATGAATACTAAACAATCAAAAGATTCGGATGATTATGTTACAGAACAGATTCTTTTTTGTCAAAATGGTATTGATAATTTAAATATTTCATCAAAAAATAGAGATTCAGCATTTGTAAGTTAAATTCTAACCTTTAGATATACTCGTTAAACTTTTTCGATAATATGATAGACAAATTAAATGTCGTTCTCTTAATCTAAGGATGATATTTAACTAATTGAATTATATCTAACATTTATTCTTCAATTATAGCTAGGAAATAAATTAGTATACGAATTTAAACTTGATAATCTATATTTAGAAAGAAACATCTGATAAAAATATGTATACATCATCAAATGAAGTTTTAATGGCTGATGTTGTTTCGACTGGATATAAATATGAAACATCATCATTGGAATTAAATGTTATACAACAATGTACTATTATTTCAATTACTTCACCATATGCATTTACAATTCAATTATCAAGAGATGCATTAGAGTGTGATGCATTCTTTAAAACTATGAAGTAAGATTTTCTTTTTTTCTTTCAATTTAATTTTTATCTGTTGTTTTTTGAAAGTGATTATTATAATTCAATTGATGATTTACATATACCACATGAATATTTACGTAAAAATCTTCTTTGTGTAACATGGGATGAAACAGCATTAGCATGGAATCGTTCTCAAATTATGGAATATGATTTAATTGATGATACTGTAAATGTTTTTTTTGTTGATTTAAATTCTTGGGAAGAACATGTTCCACGTTCACGTATACGTTTTATATTAACAAAATATTCTACACGATCTGTTTATTTATTAACATGTCGTTTAGCAGCTATAGGACCATTAAAAAATGATAATGAATGGAATGATGTTGTTTCGAAAACTTTTCAAAATGTTGTTCATAATTGTCAATGTGATGTTGAACCATTGTATAAAGGACGTGATAATACATTTTATGTCAATTTATTTGCATCACATGATGAAGCGTATGTTTGTATAAATGATTTTTTAATACATTGTAAAATGGCTCAACCTATTGATGATATTTCAAATGAAAAACATATGGTAAATAACAATATAAATCGAATAGTTTAATTAGACTTTTTTTCTTTCTTAAAGATTTATATGTTGGACGATAACGGACAACCAATGCATTCAATGATTGCACTTTATTGGAAAGCTGGAGAGTATGTATAGATCATGGGATAGTTTTCTATTGATTTACAGTGAAAATACTGAAAGAAAAAATGTCGAAAAATAAATATCGACGCAAAAATTAATCGAAAAAAATAATGTCGATCGTGAGAAATGTCGAAAATTTTGAGATGTCATTATTAAACGATACTGAGGGTGTAGGTGTAGGTAGAATAAAAATAAAAACGCTGACCCCCAGACTCCCACCCACATCCACACCCTCATTCGACATGTTTTCATTCGACTTTTTCTTTATCGACAAATATTTTTCGACAATTTTCCCTTCGACTTTTATTTTTCGATCTTTTGTTTTCGATATTTTTTTCTTCGACGTTTTCAATACATACCTTTTTTTATTGAGTAAAGAATATTTTGATATATTGTAGAACAATGCGTGAAACAGAAAATAATATTAAAAAAAATATGGATGATCATCGTTCATCAGTATCTGTTGAATCATTTCAAACAAAATATTCATTATCAAATATATCATTAACAAAAGTTATTATGATTAATAAATATGATACAATAGTTTTTGCGAGATATAATACTTATATAATGTTACCATGTTTTACTATTTCACATCTATTAAATGGACTTAATGAAGAAAAAATTAAAAATATTGTAAGACATTTCTTTGTTTTTTTTTAAGAAACTTTCAATTATTTTTTTAAGGCAAATAAAATTGGTTTTAAACCGATTATTATTGATTGTGTATCACAACCATTACTCTATTCTGAATTACTTAAATTAAAATCAATATCTACAATATCAAATCAAATTAGTTTATATTCAATTGATTGTGTTAGAAAAATATTCCATATATATCAATATGCACAAAAAGATATTTACAATTTATTAGATCGAGCACGATTAGCTGAAGCAAGTGATGATATTGGTTTTTGGGAAAAATCTTATGAGGTGAAATAAAAAGATTTTGAAATCCATTAAAATTTATTTATTCTATTTAGATTTTACAATTAAATGAATCTACAACATTAGATAATAAGTAAAGATTTTTCAAAACATTTGAGTTCTATAATTCAAAAGTACAAGTAACGCTCGTTCGAGGACTCGCTTAGCTCTTTCTCGTAGAAATGTATTCTCTTCATATTTACTGGAAAAATAATTCAAAACCGCGAAAAACCGATCGTCGATGTTTTTCTGACCTTTTCCTCTCTTCACCTCCCTCCTCACCATAGTCACCTACCAGACCTGAGATTCGAAGTTTCCGCATTGAAATACCTCAAGAAATGTCTTTTGCAGAAAATCGATTTTCGATGTTTTTTTTTATCCTGCGGGCAGACAAGCAAGCAAGCAAACAATTAATTGTTACTGAAATCTTCTCTACGAGAAAGAGAATATCAATAGTGGAGAGAAACTTGTTTTAGCTTCTTAGAAAAAAATACAGTTCTATCGATAATATGAAAATTACTTCTGTACTTTTCGAAGCTACTCAAATTTCTATAATTATTTCATTTTTATATTTATAGAGATACATATGCTTCCAATTCTCATTATTCTAAACATGATGGTCAATACGATTTTAATACTTAGAGAACGATAATTTTGTCTCTATTATTTCGTATAAACATATTAGCATCTATTTGTCTTTTTCATTCATAGTAAATTGCAGATCTATTTCTTTGTTTGTTCTTTGTTTCTGTATAGCATATACTTCTTGAAAGGGAAATACTTGTGTGTATAACTATTTGAAATGTCTTTCATTTGTACAAATAAACGAAAAATAGTAGACTATAGAAATGAAAACTTAATAATTATTTTCTTTCTTTTTTTCAGATTGATGATTAAATTGTTTTTTATTTTATTATGTGCTCAAATAAATATTCCTGTTCGAATCCAATCTATGATATAATCGATGAAACAAATTTATCTTTTTCACAACCATTAATGATTAATATTGAACCAACATGTTCATTTCCATGTACAAATAAAAATTCCATACCTCTTCTACTTTTAGCTAATTGTTTAACTAGTCCTCCATTAAATACTCATCATAATTATGTTAATCAACGAATTAATGAAATTATTGAAGATGAAGAAAATCTATATGCTAAACCAAGAAAACGATGTATAACATTAGAAGATGAACCTATTATTATTCCACCAAAAACAAGTCGATTTTCATTAGTATGAAGAATATAAAAAAATATTTTATTTGAAATTTTCGTTTTATTTTAGAAATCAATCAAACCAGAACGAGCTCAATTAGTTAGTACAACATTACCAGTTGCAACTGTACTCTCATCAATCGATTCATCAGATGAAATAGATCAATTTATTGCACGTGAGAATGATCGTGTTGAACGAGTTAAACTACGAAGACGGCAAAATCGAACAACAACAACGATTATTACTAAACAATCAGAAAAACGTCCACCAGCATTTAGTAATCCAAATTATGTTGAAATAGAAATATTACGTGATACTAAAGAGGAAAAATTACCCAAATCTATTCTTGTTTAGTCAGATATAGTTATTAATGTATTTATTTTTCTCTTATTTTTCTATTTTGTTATTTGTACATCAAATAAAAATAAACAAATAAATATACAACAAGAATTTTATACAATTTTTATTTCTATTTATTTATGCGTACGAATTGCAGTTGGAATAGTTCGTTTAATTAATGGCTGTTTTCCTGGTGTTGTCTAAAAGAAAAAAAATCATAGTTTTACAATACAATAAAAAATATTTTACCGTTAATGAACTATATGATGAAATATTTGCGGTTGTATTCGATTTTTTTATTGTGTCAGCCGTCTGACCAATAAGTCGTCGTTGTTTTGCAGGTGTTACTATCGTTGTATCTATGTTATTACGTTTAGTTGTTTGTAATTGTTGTTGTGTACGTAATTTCATTGTTGAATTATGTAATGGAGTTTTACCAGTTGGCAGTTGTGGAGCACCAGCCCGACGATAAGTTGTTAAAGGTGTACATAGAGTAGAACTTGATTGAGACTATAAATTTTTATTGAACAACAAATAAAAAATAGAATATATTAAAAGATTTTCTTACGCGTTTTGATATAGCACTTGATGTATTGCTAGAAAATTGTGTTGATTTTAAAGGTGTTCGTCCAACAAATGAACCTTTTGATGCACCCTAGAGTAAATAATGATTATGCATAGCCATTCTACTATTTTATAATATAAATAATATTAAATTTATCAAGCTAAATTATTTTTTTTAATAAATAAAGAATTTCGATTAATAAATAACATAGAAAAAAAATTATTTAGAAAAGACATTTTTTCTTTTTTGAAACAGGTACACAAAGTGTAGTAGCACATTGACTTTCTTCACTATTATTATTGTTTTCATCACCACCGGGTACTGATTGTAAAGGAATAGGACGAGCCCGTAGCATGGTACCAGTACGAGCCTTTTTTATC